CTATCGGACGACATCAAGTCCGCTTCATTGGAGATGTTGGTACCCCCCAGATTTGGAGAAACATCTTTTGTTGAACAAGAGTAGATTGACAACCTATTCATTGATCAAACAGGAGATTGAACTTGTCATTGAATCATCTCTCACATCAAAGTCATCTGTTCCAAAACCAGGTTCATCGAGTTCTAGTTATCAAGGACCACAACCAATGGACGTCGATTCGATCGGACAATGGATTGCAAGCCTAGTCAAAGGAAAAGGTAAAGGAAAAGGTAAACAGGTCAAAGGTGATGGAAAGAAAGGCTCAAGCAAAGGAGATTCGAGTAAAGGCTCAAGTACGGCTCAAGATATCACCTGCTACAATTGCGGTAAGAAGGGACACAGAGCGGCCGATTGCTGGAGCAAGAAACGGCCGGATGGGAAAGGCGATAAATGGTCAGGTTCAGGCAAAGGAGATAGGAGTGGCAAAGGTGGCAAAGGCAGTAAAGGCAAAGGTGGAAAAGGCGGCAAAGGTAAAGCCGCAGGAAGTATGGAAGAGATGATCCGGATGATGGCATTCTTAGAGAATCCAACGCTGCGCTAGGGACAAGTTTGTCAGCAAACGACAATAGTTTGCCAAAACGCTGTCGTGTGTTAGACACACCTGTCGTTTGCATTACATGCCCATGTGGGCATATGCTCACTTTTCTTTGTGCTTTTCAGCAACAAAATAATGTCACCACATACGTATTAAATTCTTCATGCTTTTTGCGCGTGGTCGTTTGCGTCTGGCGCCGGGGTCGTTTGCGCCGGTGTCCTTCTTTTCTTTGCGCTTTTCACCAAGAAAGACACTAGCAAAACAATGTCGCCACATACGTATTAAATTCTTCACGATTTTTGCACGTGGTCGTTTGCGTCCGGCACCGGGGTCGTTTGCACCGGGGTCGTTTGCACCCTGTAAGGCCAAAACTATAGTAAGCCGCTACCACGCTACGCTACCATGTTTGAAAACTTTCTGGCTGGCGTTTTCAGTTTGTTTTCGCTTGCCGTCACTCGCCGGCCGATCTCGCCGCTTCTCGAGCAGAGGTCACAGGTGCGTGAGGCAACCTTTTAACAGGGGATCACTACTAGGAACAAGAAGCTACTAGGGGCAAAGGGCGCCGCTACTATAGGAGGAAGAGCTCCTGGCCCTGATCTCACACACATAGGTGGCCGTACAGTTCCCACAACACAGATGAAGACTTAAACAATGGACCACCCTTTTGTATTGTGCAATTTTTTTTGCAAATAACTCTAATCTATAGACGGCGGTGTCATTTCACCATGCTCTCACCGGGCCGCCGGGGGCCGCGTGGGCCACGTGCGCACTTGGGAGGCCATGTTCATGGGAGGGAACCGGTTGCGTGCAGAAAGTTGTGTTCTTTTCTTTGAACGTGCGTAGCACTTTCCCAAGCTTTTCGCTTGGTATACCCCGTGGTCAGCACGGCAAACACTCAGGTTGTTGAGTTCTGATATGTTCATTGTTCGTTGAGTTCATTGAAGTTACACTCTTTCATTCGTGTTGCCGCACTGCCCTTTCATGGTCTTCTAAAAAGACCGCCAGAGTTAAGAAGTACCTTTGGTACAGTCGCCGAGAGCAACTACGCCCATGGCAATGAACCCCTATTGCCTTGATTCGTCCTAAAAAAGCCTCCTCCTCAAAGTTTTGGTAGATGGCTGGGTTTAGCTTGAACTTGAGGATCTCGTCAGCTATATGCTGATTGTAGTGCGATTTGCACCTGGTCTTGAACAGGAGCTCTCTCCTGGCCGGGGTAGCACTTTGGTGGTAAAAGTCTGTCATAAAAATTACCTACTCCAGCGGAAACATGTCATTGAACACACACCTCAAGTGTTGCGTGGGATAACTTGGGAGTCAAGCATTCGGACCTGTGTGACAGCTTCATCACCACAAAACGAAAACCATGTCCTTTCATAGAAATAGGCAGACAGCCAGAAGAACGCTTGGAGGTGCAGTTTCAATGAATCGCTCGCTTCCTTCGCCTGCGCCTCGGTGAAGATGACGCCTGACAGGTCCATGAGCTCTGTGCACCGCTGCAGGGCAAAGCTGCACATGGCCAGAACATTGAGGACAGCGTCCTCGGGCGGGTCAGACGGACGACAGGGTCACATGGGAGATGGCTCATGGCCCTTGGACAACCTGGTTTTTCAATGCTTTCAAGAGTCAGTGGGGTTTTGATCTGCGAGTTCCTGACTTTCTTTGGCAAGCCACCAAAGCATTCGCTTTATGTGGGAAGCTTTGAATCTAGAACCCATGCTAAAATAGCCATCTTCCGCAGTGAGGTTGGCTTGGGTCAGGTTTGGCTTCGCTGGCAACGCCAACCTTGCAATTGAGAACTTGGGAATAAACACATACATTTGACAGCTACCTACTATCATTGCACTAGACCAGTTGGCAAAATGGTACTTTGGTTCCAAGGAACCCGTGTTGGCGACAAACATCCCTCATTCGTCGATGGACGCGGGTGAGCGCTTCATCCATGTCCAACCCGTCCAAACCCCCAACAAGACCCTTGTCTATCAGGACTATGATGCCACTTGCGCACAAATCCCTTCCAGTGCCCAAATAGACATTGTGCATCCAGTCAAAGGTGATTGCTAAAAAGTTGAACCCTGGCATGGACACCCAATGACTCAGTGAGTCTGCATCAAACTGCATGTAAGCTTGGTGGTTGATGGCCGTCAAGTGCCACGCAGAGCTATTGGTGACATTGCGGTAATCCAACTCGGGTCGGCGCCTTGTCCCCTGCATTGCTAGGCATCGGTCACAAAACCTGGGATGGGCCGGCAGTAGAAGAGAACGCTTTTCAGTAGCTAAAGCTTTGTCTAAAGACTTTGCCCGGCTGGAAAGGTTTATTGATGTTGCTAGGTGACTCGTTGCAACGGTAGTACCGCTTGAAGTTGTGAAGCTCATAGCGGGCTTTGAGGTCTGCTTTGAACGCAAAAAAAGCAAGCCCTGCGGCGTTTAGCCAAAAGGGAATCCTGTGAAAATTGGATCCCATCCATTGCAACCACCCTACCATATTTTGTTGGGAAACCTTGACGCAAATCTTCAAAGAAAAAAGATCTCCTCCAGCCACAACCAAGCTGTTGGCCACAGAGGTGACCCCTAGATGTTTTCGCCAATGGTTCTCCAGTGAAGCCTGTATCAGGACCCACACCGCTGGAGGCCAGCTTCATTGACCAGGCCGTCAAACGAGCGATCGTCTGGTGCACAGCTTGCCGTACCTGGGTCGGTGCGAGAAGGGCGCCCATCAATTCAAGGGAATGTGCATCTACACATGAACAAGCACATATATTTATACGGGTGATAGGTGCATACCCATAGATATATACAAAGGAATATTTATAGAGTACTCTAGAGTATATATATAAGTCTATTTACAGCGGTACAGCTTTCATCATAGCGTTACAGCTTTCAGGAGGTGAAGGCCCTTTAACTTACAAAGCAAAAGCTTCTCCGGTAACAAGTAGCAGATGGTGTTCTCATATGCCTCTCAGGGATGATAGCGATTGGCCATTTATAAAGTAGCACGTCTTGAACCATCCCCTGTCCACCCCAGAGGCTGCTCCAAGACCAAACATAGAACTCATCATCACGATAAAATTGGGCGCCGTCGGCGTGGATGGCGCACGGGATCAACCGGTGGTACGGGGCATCACTTGTGTGAATTGGGTGGTCTTTCCACGGCTCCAAACCCTTTGTGACTTCCCAGAAATTCCGCCTGGCATCATCACTAAGATCTCCTAGCATGATGCTCTGAAAAGCAGACATGCTCTTGGTAGCCAAGCAGTGAATCACTTCGTGTGGCGGCAGAACATGCACAGGTGTTGAGCGAGGCTTCGATCTCCATCCATTCACCCTTAGCAATCCATGTGACACCCACCCAATCAAAGGTTGGCTTGTTTTCACGCAAACGATAAAACATAAGAAAACAGATACCCCGTGCCAGAACCAGCTGGCCTCCAGATCCATGGGCACCACATATGTTTCCAGAGAAAAACCCCACAAATGTCGGAGCCACGTGTGTAGGTCCCTTTCTTGGTTCGCCGGACGGCATCCATTGGCGCCAAGCGATCCAAAGGCGCGAATCGCTTCGTGCGGGATCCCCTCAGAGTCGGCCACCTGCCACAGAGTCTGTTGTTCTCAAACCTTGACGAGGGTTTGAAAGAAAAGTGAGGGCCTCCCAGAACGGGGGGGTTCTTTAATCTTTGTTCGGTAAAGAACATGAGCCGTGCTACAAAAGACCGCGCAATAGTAGCTGCAGCATCGATGCTAATCTTTCCGCGGCCGATGAGGTCGGCAAACTTCTCAACTGTTTGAGAATGTGGAAGATCTTCTAATCGCCGTCTCTTCCTGCATGACATGGCAAATGTTCCCACGATGGTATCAGAGAAGTGTTTTTGAAGACGTTGTGAAAAGGGCATCTAGTTTCTGTCAGCTCAATCCATTCTTTTGGCAGGACCCGACGCTCCTTCCAGATTTGAAGGCGCCAAGACCTGTCCGGGCGAATCCAGGGTGGTGTGATGTTGCAGCTTTGTGTTCGGGGAGCACAGCAGAGAAGAGATATACTCCCTCAGGCCATCTTGGAAAAATGGACACTGCACTATCATATGTGAAAGACGTCATCCAAGCATGTAAACACCACTGTTGATTCTCTTTTTCTTGGCAGCTTCGGTCGCAAGCATTTCTAGCTGCTAGCTAAACCTGTTGAAAAGCAGCCGCAACCCCTGGCAAAACTGAAGAGCTGAGATCTATGGGGTCACCAGCTGCGCACGTCAGCAAATGTTTCTCACTTGCAAACCCCGAAATCGCGAGAGGCCCCATCCTCTCACGCAGGAAGGTCTCTTAGCCTTCCTTGGTAGTATGCTTTCCGCGCTTGGCCTTCTTCTTGGTTTGCGCCTTCTTTTTCGCTCTCGGCTTCAGAAAGGCTTGAGCAGCTGCCTAGCAGCAAGAGTGTGTCTTTAGAATTCAAAACTTTGTGAAAATTTGGTCGCACACCGATGCTTCTAATATGAAGAAAGTACTATGTTTTGAACTATAGTTGATGGACTGGATATCTGGAAAAAGCTGAGCTGATTGGAAAAGAGGAGAGATGGAAAAGAGCTAGACGAATTGGAAAAGAGGAAAGAAAAGAGCTGGAGTAAAAGAGTGTCAAAGTCCTTGTGGGCGTTTGGCGTTTTCCTTGCCTGAGCTTTGGAACCTTTTGCAATGAGGTCATTGGCAGAATTCACGTAGGCCTTGAGCGCTTTCTCGTTTCCTTCACCCACCTTTGCTGCCAACTTCTTGTAGCTCTGTTCCAGTTGACCAGCATGAGACAGCAAATCCTTGCTGAGCTCCTGAGCAAACTCCAGGCCACCAAGCTTGATTGACAGCTTGCGAGCTTCGCAGGCCTCCTTCAACATATCAGGAAGCAAGGTCTGTGCCTTTTCTGCCCAAGTTTGTGGCTCTACCTCCTGGGCCTGCTCCTGCTCCTCCTTCTTTTTCTTCTTGGGCGCAGCCACACCGGTAGTGATGGCCTGCAAGAGAACCTTGCTCCCACCTGCAGAAGCACCCGCGACCTTTGGCAAAGCGCCAGGCCTCAACAATCCATCCTCTGAGGTCAGAGCACTCCGCATGTCAGGGTCAACGTCGACCTTGGCCTTCATGCCAAGAGTCTCAATGCATTGCTCCTTCTGGGTGATCTCATCGCCCTGCCGAACGAAATACCACATCTCCTGCGAAAGGTTGCAAAAAGATGGGAAGATGATGATAAGACATTGAGGGATCAAAGTCAACTGGTGGAGGTCTTGATTTTACATCCTACTGGCCCAAACCGCTCGAGAACACCGAAAGAAACCGGTCTCCTCCTCGTCCGAGCCAGAGTCGTCATCCTTGTACACGAGCCCTTGCTGAATTCTCTTGTCCCTCAGCTTCTGCCATTTCTCCGGCGCGTACTGCTTTTTCAGTTCTTTTCCCTGCACCGCTTTCCAGCCACGCTTGGATTCTGCAACCTCCCGCCTCTGGCGCTCGACAGCCAGGGCGCATTCTTTCCAGCTGTAGTTCGAGTCCAGCCAGAGGTTGAACAGCTCGGTCTTCTGGGAGACGAACATGTCGGACAATTCCACAGGCATCTTGCCCTTGCTCTTTGCTTGGCGACAAAATGTGTCCCACTCCCTTTTATTTGTCATGCTGTTGCGCAGTGCCACGGCAGTCTCTGCGGTGTGCTGCACAATGGGAACCAAAGCGTGGCAAGGCTCCTCGGGCTCCTTCTTGTCTTTCTCCTCTCCCTTCACATCACCTTCATCTTCTTCTTCTCCTTCTTCTTCGCTTTCATCTTCGTCACTTTCCTCCTGGTCCTTGTCATCAGCTGATTCTTCTTCACTCTCTGAGGCTCCTTCTTCGTCCTCCTCCTTCCCTCCTTCATCATCTTCACCCTCTTCATCTTCTTCCTCCTCTGGCTCCTCCTGTTCAGACTCATCACTCTCTTCCGCACAGGACATGGACTCATCACCAGATATGGAGCCGTCCATGTTGTCGACGAAGGCTTCAAGGTCAGTAGCATTGCAAGACTCAGAGTCTGAATCGTTCGATGCCTCCAGAACAGCTGCCAACTCTGCGAGCCTTTTCTCAGCCTTCTCTTTCGAAGACAAGCTGGTGGAAGATGACTTGGTAGAAGCTGCGTCAAAGATTGGCTCAATCTTGTCTTTCATGGCCGGCTGCCACTTGACTGTCTTGCCACTCCTCTTGCTCTTCTTTGGATCTGGCATTTCACCCTCTTTCCCCTTGCGCTTTCTCTTCACTGTATCTTTATCCTTCTTCTTGTCTTTGGACTTCTCTCGTTTCTTCTCCTTCTTCTCCTTCTTCCCTTTCTTGCCTTCTTTGTCCTTCTTCTTACCTTCTCCTGCGACATCCTTCTCCTCCTTGTCGTTCTTGTTTCCTCCACTCTTCTTCTTTTCTTCTACCACTACCACCATCTTATGTGGCTTGCCTTCCTTGCATTCTGGCTTCTTTGCTGTCTTGTCTTCCTTCTTCACTTCTCCGCTGCGCTTCTTACCTTTCTCCTTCTTGTCTTCTTCTGCGCTCGTTTTCGCGCCTTTCCTTTCTTGCGGTTCTGACTTTGCCTCTTTCTTCTTCTTCTCTTTGCCAGACTCTTCCTTCTGCGCAGTCTTCTCTTTCTTTTCTGGCTCTTCTGCCTTCTTCTCTTTCTTGTTCTTCCTGTCTTCTACCTTTGGCTCACCCTTCTTCTCTTTCTTCTCCTCTTGGACTTCTACTTTCCTTTTGGCGTCCTTTTCCTTCCCCATCTCCTTGGCCTTCGCTGTCCTCAAGGCCGATGGTCTTGAACAGGAAGTGGATGCGCTAGTTGGAGTCTTTGCAAGAAGTCGAGAGCGGGGTGGTGTGCTGGGAGGCTCAGGCATTCGTGCGGCTGTGAGACTGCGCGCAGAGCCAAAAGCACTGGTGACAATGACATCCTACAATGCGCGCGAATTCGCTCCAATGCGCACGAATTTCGCTCCAATGCGCACTAGTGGATTTCGATTTTTTTTGCAGAAAATTTGTGTCAAAATGATTTTGTTGTTTCCTGTCTTTCAAAGAAGCGACGCTGGCGCCCTGTACCCAGACGCCTGCGTCTGAAGCACTTCTAGTGATATAGATGCGAGGCATTCTCCTGGCTGGCAGGTTGGCAGGTTATGACCCCCTCAAGTGGTTCAGTACACCCTCAAAGATTCAATGAAGAGCATTGATCAACACCTTTATGTTCACATTATGTCACATTGATCAAAGCCGGTAGTGTTACCGGTATATATCATTACTGCGTGCTTTTGTACACTACATCATACATGGTATGCATGTTTGGACATGTACCTGTCAAGTTCTTTCGTTTCGCGCGTTTTCCTCAAGTTGAGAAATAGGTTGAAGGCCATCACTAATGGGCTGGAGGCCATCGCTCTTACCTCGAACAATCCAACTTGAGAAGACTTTGCCAGGCCCGAAGAAAGACAAGAAAGTCCTTGAAGATCTGAAGATCGCCGTGAGGCCGGGTCCTACCGGCGAGCAGAGAGGACATGACAGGGACATGGAGTGGTGGGCCTGTGGGTTCCTGTGGGGTCACGGTAGCTCACCCTGATAGTCCTTACTTTCTTTTCACCCCAAAGCTCACTCAACGCGTATAGATCTAAATTACCGCAACTCTGCTAAATGGAAGCTGATTGCTTAGCCCCGCAAACACAGCTAGCAGCGCCTATCACACAGCTAGCCAATTGGAAAAGCGAGCATCAATCTCAGCTGCTCGTGAGGAAATCAAAGACTGGCTGCAGGTTGGCTCCAGCCATCCAAGCCCGGTTAATGCGCGGCCTTCTATCGAAATCATTGGCTGTCTTCCGCGCAGCCTTTAGAAATTTTACAGCGGAATTGAAATTCCTCTTGGCATGCTTTGACCTCACCTTAGCCAAGGCGACCCCGAATCCTCGGGGGTAGGATTGGCTTTCTTTGAGGTGCTTGCCCCCGTGAACACGGCGTTCCCCCTTCTGGTTCTGGTAGCTCACGACCATCTCTCGCTGTTCGTACTCCGGTTCCTGCGCATAGTCGTGGATGTCTCTGAGGCAGCGACCATGACCTTGCAGGGAGCCGTGACACAATTGTAGTTTGAGAAGAAGTCTATAAGTATAGCGCACACACACATTGGGACTACACAAAACAGACTAGTTGGCTCTACAAGTCTAGACCTGCCTGTAAAAAGTATGGTGCGCTTGGGGGTTGGCGCTCCATAGTTTCCCATCGCGATCATGAGCCGCTCAACGCCGATGCGGCGGATGCAGTATTGAAAGAGTGGGTGCAAGTGCATGATCGACGAACCTGGTTGTTCCAGGACCCAGAAGCATGCTTTGCAAGCTGCAAGGATCACCAAGATCAGAGCTCGCGCTGTAAGGATGTTGCCATCCCTCACTGCCTGCGAATCCTTCCTCCCTAAAGGTCGAGTGGCCGATCGAAGTGTGCTGCCGCGGCTCCTTAGCTGCCAGAACAATAAATAGACTTTCCCACCCAAGCCAAAAAAAAGTCCATCAACTCAAGGGCCATAAAAACATACAGTTGTTGAAGCAAAAGCCAAATCGCACGAAGACCCACGTTGAACAGACAGGAGCAGTGAGCTTCCCTCCTCCAGGGCGCAGCCGGCAAACACAATGTAGCGCGTTCGCAAAGCCCGCAGGGGAGAGCAAATCCATTCGTTCTGGATCAAGTCTCACATCGAAAGGTGCCGCTGAGCGCCCTGCCTTGCTTGCAAGAGCAAGGCCCACACACCAATTTGGACAGCGGTGATTGGAGTTTTTTTACATGGCTAGAGCACAGGTTAACTATGTATAAGTTCTCCCATACCTTGTTTATAGGCCACAACAACAATAATTCACCATATACCCCTGCTTTGTTTGATTGATTAGGCTTGCGGTGGTCAGATTTGGTGACTGCCCAAAATGGACAACACAAGCACGATAACACAAACATGATGATACAATGTTCCAAGTTTGGTTGCACCAGGGCACCTCCCACTCAGCCTTGGTCACTTCTGCATCTCCTGAAAAGGACTCAAAGTGGTCCAATTGCTCAGACCAGTCGATGCCCTGCACCTGGAAAAGCAACGATACAAGCGTTGCAAGAGCCTTGGTCCACGGGCAGTGCATGACAACCATGCCTGCTCAGAGCAAACAACAACAACATTACAAAGAAATACTACACAGCAATCTCATTGATGACCTAGCCACAAGCGGCATTTGCAAATGCTTAAGTCCTGCTATGAGCCAACATCGATGCTTATCCTTCATGTTGCGAGGCAGCGGCCGCTCTTCTGACTGGTCACTGTCGTCTTGAAAAGGCATCTTGGCCTGGATCTCCTTGAGCCTGGCCACAAGTGATGTCAGGCTGTTCTTCTTCTTCTTCAAAAAGTGACCCTTTCCCATGGCGGCAAATCGCAAGCGAACTCCGGGTTCAATAGCGTGTTCTCGCCTGCGAAAAGTCGAGCCTTTGAAGCGCTGGAACCATGCAGTATGTGCACAGTTTAGTTCAAGAAACATGAGACAACTCTTTGATTGAAACTGGACACCATAACCACAGTGATGATCCTCGTTGAAAATGCTCGCAATGCCTAACTAGCTGCGCAACGATTCCCAGTCCTCCCAGAAAGATGTTGCAGCTCAAGATTTGCAGTACCTGGAGCCGGTGCGTCTAACGATATCTGAAGAGAATACGCAAGACTGCATAGGTTTCAGGAACTCGCGGTGATCCAGAAACGAATTACTATATATATATATACTCTGTAATTGTTATATATATATATATATATTACTATATATACTTGACTTCGAACCCCTGAGTCGGAGCCATCTTTGACATACCTACGAAGGCATCCCTGACTAACTGTATACGCCGAGCTTTTTGGACAGCGCGTACGGCAGCGATCAAGAAACTAGTTTCAACAAGTCAACGCAATCCCCGATTCGAAGGGGCTTGACATTGAGTACCCCAGAGTCAAAGCCATCTTTGACATACCAATACGCCTTTAAAGAGTTTCAAAAGCCGGATCGCCTGACTGCCTCCTGCCAGGCCATGGAAGCACCACCGAATTTGCTCCACGTCACTTGTCCGAGCTTCTGGGATTCAGCAGGGTGGGAGGCCGAAACCTTTTTGACAATGAAGGCCTTTTTGCTTGAGCAAGCACTCAATGACCTTATAGCTTCACAAAGACCGCTGGAATCTTTGGCTTTTTCACTCCACCCCAACCCATATGTGACTTTGCAGGGTACCCAGACATTGCAGGATATTTTATTCAATTCCTCACGAAACTCTTGCACTGTTGTTCGAACCATGACATCACAGAAGTTGGTTGAAGTCGACTATACATGACCCAGAAACATGGTGTGAAGTGTAAAGGGTCTTTGTTAGGACAAAGGGCAGCTCCCGACTTGGAGCGAGCGGTGTACCCGTGACGACCTTGATGTAGCTCTCCAACACGGGGCCTGGCCTCCTGCGGCACCTGAAGTGCATCTAGGTCGTGCTCATGGAACTTGTTCAAGACATCTCCGAATTGTTCCCCGCCCAACTCATCAAGCTTGTCTTGGCCCTTGCGCTCGGCCATGCGCTTGGCCTCGAAGGTTTAGAGCTACTCCATAAACACAAACCCTGAGTTTTTTTGGGGGGCCTCACATTTGGACAGGGGCCTCAACATGAAAAGCCTTTCTGTCAAACTTGGGCACGGTCTGAGGGCCGACAATTGGAGGAGGAGTCTGAAAGAGAGCACGCGCAACCACATCGCCTTGCTTTGGCCGCTTGGCCGCAGGCGTCCTGGTACTGGATTCCGAATCGTCCAGGTGTTCCATGCCCATCAGGCCCATGGCCTTGTCGAAGGGCCGCTTGCGCTCCTCACATGTGTGGGGACATGTGAATCATGCTAATTACTAGCGTCTAGACATTACTTAAAGCGTCATTCAGATTTTGTTCACTTTTGATTCCCAACATGCCCAACAACTTGGTTGTCAAGTTTGAAGGCCCCTCCTGACTCTCCTTCGCGGTACACGGGCGCGAAGTGCTCGCACGGTCAGTGTCCTGGTTCGAAGTGAACAAAACACTACAGTAAATCGCAGTAAATGTCCTGGGTTGCATTGCAAAAGCAGTGGACAAAAATGACACTGACAGTCTTTTGATATCAAAGATAATTGAAAACCGTCTCCTTGCTTTTCCGAATCCACACTTTGAAAGATTCCAGGCTGGACAGCTTGGAGTAGGCAGTGTCACCGTAAGTGCGCAGCGCTTTGGAACACCACTCCTCATATAGACGCCATTGCCCCGCTTCCAGAAGCACACCGCCCATTGCCTCTTCCAAATCAGCCTTTATGTCCTTCAGAAGTTTTTGGATGTGAGCGACTTCGTTCTCTTTCCGGCTGTAGTAGTTGATCGCTTTCCCCATCCAACCCGATGAGACTTGAGAGTCTCTGTGGTCGGAGCCGCTCGCACTGCCGCTCTCCTCAGACTCTTCGTCTTGTTGCCCCAAAATCAGCGTTGGCGCTGTCAGGCTGTCGTCAGACTTTTCATCATCAGACCTGCTTGAACAGCTTGTCTGACTTGAGTCAGCCTTGGCCGCTTCCTCGTGAGAAGTTGGGCCTGTTCCAACAACAACACCCGGGTCAGGTAGCTGCTCTTCCTCAGATTCTGGGTCCGATGCAGCTTCATCACGCACAAGCTCCCCCTCTTCCTCAGAGGCTGGGTCCGATGCAGCTTCATCACGCGCAAGCTCCTTTTCTTCCTCAGATTCATCATGCGCAAGCTCCTTTTCTTCCTCAGAGGTCGGGTCCGATGCAGCTTCATCACACACAAGCTCCCCCTCTTCCTCAGAGGTCGGGTCCGATGCAGCTTCATCATGCGGAGCACGGGCAGGAAGGTGCTCTGCAGCCTCATCAGGAATTGCCGGCGCTTCATTGTCATTGTCACCGTCAGATGACGCGGAACGTTTGCGCCTTCTTCCATGATGAGCAGGGCTCTCGCGAAGAAAAGATTTCAAGTGGCGCACCTTGTCGGTGCCACCACGTCGCGAACTTCGCCACAAAGCTCTCAAGGCACCGAGGCATTTCTTCAGCTTGCACCCCTCTTGAGCTGCCTGCTGCATTCGACACTCCCCCTTTACAGGGCGAAACATCTTCTTGTCAAGCTGCCGATCGAGCTCCACAAAGACATCGGTAAGGAAGTAGGCTGAAGGCACCTGATGCAAGTCTAGCTACACAAGGAATGGCTGAGTGGGGAATGAGCGAACCAAAGATCTGAGAGAGTCATGGAATGAGTGCAGGAGTCGACGAGTCGCAGAATGAATGAGTGAAGGATTGAATGAATCAAGGAGTGAGTCAGACCCCCCAAACAATACTAAAAACAATTGTCCCTTCCGTGAGAACCTTTATATACAGATTCCTTTACTTTAAAACCATATTTGGTAAAACATATTGATACAGTGCCTTGCCTTAGATGGGCTGTAGGTGACACACGGCAAAATCCAGACGTAGTTAACGCTGATCTCCTTGCTTGTAGGCTGCCTGATGGCCTTGCTCTGAGCTAGGTCAACCAAGGCTGAGCCCTTGAACCCCTCATCAGCAAATAGAGTCAGCAAGGTGGGAGGAAGTGCTCGATGAATAGCGCTGGCCACCTGTTCCTGAGAGGTGTTTTATAACGTGCGATTCGTTTGGGTTACTGACAAATCCAAAACAGCAGCTTGACTCTGAAACATTTCAAGTTCCGTATACGTCCTAGAAATTTTGCCAGGCCCTTGGCCGGAATCACGTGAGCTGGTTTGGGCAAGGGTGGAGGGAAAGTTTTGCACCACGAGAAACGTTGAGTTAACATCATGTGCTTGAAAGAAAGCTACTCTTCATTGTTTTTTGAGTACCGGGCTGGTTGAACGCCAGGTCTCAGCAGGGTCTGCTCTTTCGATAGCTGGGACAAGGGCCATTGGCCAAAACAACGGCGACCCTTTGCAGCTGTTGAGCCCACAAAGTCACTCCGGCAAAGGGTCGAGCCACCTTAAGAACATGGAAAAGGGATACGGTCTCTACGAGCCCTGCGACGCCCCCGTTCCAGGGGCACGTGTTGAAGTCCCCCGCGCTCCACCTGAGGCCGGCAGTGGAGTGAGTGGAATGAGTGGCCCTGCAAGCTGTGGCCAGTACATGAAATGATGTTCAAACAAGCCACCAAACTAGTCACTAGATGATCATCATCGCAGCTGTGGCCCCGGGCTGTTTGCACGGCTGAAGGCTCTGAAACCGAAGAGACATGCAGCAAGGCGCGCACTAGTTTTTTCAACTGTTAGATTCATGGACAGCATCTCATTCCCCCTTTTCATGCACATAAAAAAATATGAGTGAATGGACGTCGACGTTGAAAAGCCTGGTGTTTC